TCAGCACTGTGGCTAGTGCGCCTGGATCGGCGCTCGCTGAAGAGACGAGGGCTCGAGTCGGCGCTTCTCAGATGAGTGAAGAGCGAGGAGGGTCGGAGGGACCTTTCTCCCTGATGTTCACTCCTGCTGTCTTTCTTCATTAATATATGTTTGTGATAGTAATAACCTACAGCCACCTTGGGGGGCTGGTGCGTGTACCTACTGCGCCTTCCTAACTTCCCCTTCCTCTCCCTTCCCTCCCATCCTCCCTCATCCCCCGACGCCCTGCCCAGCTCCACCAGGCCCACCTCCCCATTTTCTACCATCTGTCCTTTATTTTGCTCTTCCAGTTATTTGGATGTTGAGTTTCTCATACAAGGGGAACCACGTGATATTTAAGCTTCTGTGTCTGATTTACTTCACTTACCATTATGGACTCAAGGTGCACGCATTTTCCTACAAATGCTTTTCACGGAGCAGCACTGTGCCCCCTACGTGCTGGGCAGAGATTCCGGACTACATGCAGAGCGTTCCTCCGCTCTCCCACTTGTGGTGTCACTTCCTGATTGGCGCTGTGCACACACGTGTGTTAGTCCATGTGGGCTTTCGTTCCCCTTGGAGAAACACTGGGGAGCTGGGACCGTGGACCCCTGGGGTTGTCGTGTTTACTGTCTTCAACACTGCCAGGCCTTTCTCCACAGGCCTTGTGGCATTTAACTCCCGTCCACCTGGTACGGAGGTTCGGTGCTCTCTAACTTGCCCACCTTGGAATTTTCCGTTTGTTCATCCTTTCGGTCATTTTTAGCCAATCTGGTGGGTGCTGAGTGGTATCTGGTTGTGTTTCCAGTTTGCCTTTCCCTTGTCCCTTGTCACTAGGGGAGATGGACACGTTTTTGTGTGTTATGGGCTATGTGTTCACCTTCTGTTGTAAAATGGACCTGGGTTCGGTTCTTCCTCCAGAGGAAGCGTTCCTGAAATGTCCTGGTCCCTTGCATGGGATACACACTTGAGGCACTGAGCCTCTGGGGGGTTCTAGTCCCCACACTGGGGACTGCAGCCTGAGGACACAGAAGTGGGTCCTCTCAGCCCCAGAGGACTGAACTCTGGGATGCAGGCGTCAGCAGGCCAGGCCCCGGCAGCCCCTCTGCAGCCTCTTAGCTCCCATGGAGGTGGTGGTCCCCGGCCCCCCTCGGCTCCAGCCCTGTCACCCTGGCTCTGCATCCGGGGTCCCAGGACATCTCCAGGTGCAGCTGTTCCTACAGGGATCTCTGCCGGCCAAGCTAACTGTGTGCCCCTACTCCAGTGGGACCTCGTTTTAACTGATTACATCCGTTTCCATATAAGATCACATTCTGAGGTACTGCAGACTGGGGGCTCAGCACACCCTTTCGGGGGACACAGTTCAACCCGTAACACCACGGATTCAGTAGCTTGTGTCCTAATGGAGGCCATGCTCCTTCCAGGGTTCTGTGAGGGACCCCAGGAGTGGCAGCACATTTTCCAGCCCCAGGCCTGGGGCGGGTCGTGTGTATGAGGTGCACCTGTGGCTTTGGTATTACAGGTGAGAAGTTCAGCCCTTCACCAAGGCCTAGAGGGACAAGCAGCTTTTCCAAATCCCCGGCGAGTTCTTCAAGGGGCCTCCAGGTGGCGCCATAGAGCGAGCGGCGGCTCCATTCTCCGCAGTTCCGCGTCTTGGGGCTCTGAGCTGAGCGCTGCGCGTGGGACCCGCAGGTGCGTGGAAACCCGGAACCTCGCGGGAATGCCGGCGTGGCTCAGTTGATCCGGAGTGCGATTTAGAATTTGCATTTCTTACTTTTTAATTCATTGATTTTGAGATTGAATTAATATATTTGCTTTAAGAAAAAAAAACAAATCACTTTTCATGAGTCCAGGTTTGCAGTCCAGGATGATTGCATCCTTGCGGGGAGTGGGTGCGTATACATAACACACCGAAATTATTTTCCCATCCCCTTACCCTCCCTCCTACTCTGCTGTAAAGAAGGATAAACCTGAGTCATTTGTAGGAAAATGGAGGCACCTTGAGACCACAGTGTTAAGCGAAATAAATCAGACACACAGCTTCAATATCGTGTGGTTTCTCATGCATGAGAGGCCCAATACATCAATCAACAGCGAAATAAAAGAGAACAGGGAGCAGTGAGATACAGCTTTTGCCAAAAGGAAGGGGTTGAAAAGCATTTGCATTTCTAACCCACTGAGGAGTGCTGAGCTGCACAGCAGGGCTGAGGGGACAGCAGCCCCCTCAGAGGAGCCGAGGAGGGTCCAGGCCCAGGCCGTGCCCACTCAGGGTGTCCTCTGGGCTGAGCAGAGTGGGAACAGGTGTAAAAGTGAATGAGGCATGGGTCGGACCCAGGGCTGGGAGAAGGGGGTCCGGTGGCCCTTGCTGGGGGAGGGGGTTGTACCCGGGCATCTGGAAGGGGACAGAGACAGGTGTGGAAAAGGAAGCCCAGAGCGAGCCCACCTCCCTTAAAGCTTTACCAAGGGTCCCCTCCCTCCCTGCCTCCCTCCCTCCTTCCTTCCTCTCTCCCTCTCCCCTTCCCTCCCTCCCTTCTTTGTTTCCATGATTCTTTCCTCTCTGTCATTAAATCTCTTCCAGTCTCTCCTTAAATCTGAATCTCTCCCGCTTCTCCATCCATATCTGCCTTGCATCCCTGTAGTTTCTCCTCCTCCTGCCTTCCCCCGGCTCTCTCCCAGCCCTGTCCTTCTCAGTCCTTCTCAGCCTCTACTTCTCCCTCAGTCTTGCCTGCCCTTAACTCTCTCCTCCTCCCTCTGCCTCCACAGCTGTGCCCCTCTCCTGCCCCAGCAGCACATCCGAATCCCTCCGGCTCTGGCCCCAGGGCCCATCCGACTTTCCAGTGTTGGCTGCACAGTGGTGTGGTTTTGAGCACAGGTTTGGGGCTCCTGCTCCCTTGGTTCAAATCACGGCCCCGCCAAGAACCCGCTGCAGAAACGGAGCCAGCTTCACCAATCCCTGGCCTGGGCCAGGGCCCTCTCCTCCTGGGGATCAATGCAGCGGGTGTCTCGCACTCACTAAATGGTGGCTGTTGTCATCATGGGCATCGTGGTTGTTGTTATTGCTAATAAAAGGTAATCCACAGCCAGTCTGTCTGTAGCCAACAATTAGATGCTTATCTGGTGTTGGGAGTGCTTGGGGAGGACCCTCCCACCAGTAAAATCAGGGCCACTCCCTGACCTCGGTTTCCAGCCAGGACCAGGCAGCCGGGAGCCAGGGCACCAGGTGGGGATGCACCAGCTTTCTGGGCCACTTCCGATGACACTCTGTCCTTATCTGGAGCCTCCTGGAGGTCCCGAGCCAGCTCAGTGCATTTCAGAGGCCGGATGCCATCTGCCCAGAAGCCACCACTAGGCTAAGTGTCCAAATGAACAAGCCAGGAATATAAAGTGGCCTCAGAGGGTGGCCACGGGGACAGGAGCCACAAAACACAGTGTCTGAAGGCCCAAGGGGGCCCCTGTCCCAGGGTGACATCCGCAGCACAGGGCATGGCCTGACAGTTTGACAAGCTTACCTTTCCCTGCCTTTGGAGAGTAAGAAGTCTGAGCTTCTCACACACAGCGGTCACCATTAGCGATTAGCGCCATCTGCACCACCAGGCATCATTGTCACTGCGGGTTTGCACAGAACTCCTCTTCAGTTCCCCCTTCTCTCTCCTTCCCTGCTCCTGGGCTTACAGAATGTTCACTGCAGTTCCTGTTCCCGTGTGGGTCTAGTGGATGTGACTGACATGGCTGGCAGAGTCCTCGTCTAGGGCGACTGGGTATTGTCACTGTGCACCAAAGCCCCTCCGTGCCCCTCCCCGGGCGGCAGCCCCCTAGGATGGATGCACCGTGGCTCCCCCTTTTGGGCTGCCCCAGAGAGCCCTTCGAGGATCAAGCTTGTGCGTGTCCCCTGGTGGGTGTGTAAGGGTTTCTTTGGGATGCACAGCCGGAGGGAAAGCAGGGTGCTGAGTCACAGGGCGTGTGCTTGCTTAGCTTGAGAACCAGTGCAGACCCGCAGCATCAAGGGCAGCCACTCACCGGGAGAACTTGAAGGCTTTTGTGACCCATGACCTCGACAACACCTGACCTGACCCATCCTTCTCCTTTCCAAGCCCAATTAGTGTGAAGCGACAGCACATTGTTCCTTGATTCATGCCCCATAGATAGTGGTTGAGTCTGAACACCCCATCATTCTGTGTCAGCCTTTGCAGTTTGCTTCCACAAAGCATCTCTTTTTTCTCTTCATCTCCTGTCTTGTTCTTCTCTTCCCTCCCCTCCCATTCCTCCCCCTGCTCCCCTCCGCTCTCTGCACAGGGGACGGAACCCAGGCTCCTCCTACTGAGGTCCATCCTCCCCTTTTCTATTTTTTATTTTGAGACAGGCTCCTGCACATTGCCTGTTTTTATCCTTTATCCAGGTTTCCAGAAGGGCACCCCTCTTTTTTCTTACTGATTTACAGATGCTACAATCCTTGTGTATTATAAGTGCTAGCCCTCTTTTTCTATTTTGGATATTACAAATAACTCCTTCCATTCTGAAAAATGCATATTGATGGTCCATTTCACCCTCCTTTAAAACTCTTAATTTTAATAAATCAGACTAACTGACATTTTGTCTTATGATTTATGCTTCTGAAGCCTTGGGATTCGTCCGTACCTCAGAGACCTGAAGGGTGTTCATTTGAATTTTTTCCTCCTCCATCTCTCAGTCTCTGCTGCCCTCAGGGATCATCACTGCAGCTGGAGCCGCCTTTTCGTGTGGTGCAGATGGGAATCTAGACTTGTGTGCAGGTGCACGGCGAGCCAGTTTTCCCAAGCCCATTTAGGAAGCCCCCTCCATCCCTCCGCTCCTTTGGGCTGCTGTCTTATGATGCGTTAACTCCCTAGATGTTCTGCCCACTTCCCATGAGTCTGTGTCCGGGATCGAGCTCTGCCTCCATGGCCCACTTGTCTGTTCTTGCACTGATCCCACCCTTTGCTTTACACATTAATTTTGCTTTGCAGGATGTCTTCATATCGAGTAGGACAAGAAGCTTATTTCTTGCACCATCGCAGCGCTTACATCACCACGCAGGAAATGCTGGGATGTTCTCCACCCTGGACGGGGACCACTCACACTTCGCACACCTATCCGCCCTCTCCTCATTCCGGAACCAGCTCCCGCGTTGGAAAAGATACATCCTCATCCAGGAAGAGAAAGTCAAGGCTGCCCAGGAAAATGTGCAATGTCTTAGCTCAGATTTCAGTTTCTAGAAACTTCATCTCCTATGCCATGCCCTGTGGAGCGGCATAAAGAAAGCCAGCCTCAGTAGCGTGGGTGCTCCAGAGAGTTTGTTCTCCCAGATCCAAGCCCAGTGGCCGGAAGGCCCTGCATGCCCGGAGCACTAAGGGCATCCTGAGTGGGAGCTGCTTTGAGCTTCCTGCAGTCTCATCTTCTTCCTGTGGTTTTGATCCTTCCAGTGCAAGGTCACTCACTGATCGACCTCTAGGCACCCACCTTCTGGGTGAGAAGAGGAGGGGCTGCAAACACTGCTCCCTGACTTTCAGCAAAGCGAATGTTGCTGGGAAACTGCAGGCGACTGATTTCAGCTCACAGCCCGCTGCTTACACCGGGTGTTGGCCGCCCAGAAGGATTAAGGTCACAGGCCGTGGGCAGCAGCTGGGCTCGGTGGGCAGTGGCGAGGTGATAAGCACATCTCAGTTGCACCCAGCATGCCTGGCCCAGAGGCAAGCAAGGTCACCAGACACTCCCCTCCCCCTCTCAGCCCACAATCCATCTCCCGGGCCTGTGCTCACCCTGGAGCCTGACCCTGAGGTGGAACCCTTCAGGCTCTGCCATCAACAAGAAGAGGCTTGGGGCAGCACCACGGGAGGGTGCGGAGCTGGGCACGCCACCTCTCCTGAGCCTTTCCACCCCAGTTTTACGGTAAATGTTTCATCAAGGTGTTCCTTTTATGGCTGTTAAAAAACCTAGGAGGCACCAAATGCCTGCCCGTGGTAAAAATGGACCCATGAGGTGGAGCGTGCTTACGCAATAGTAAACTGGGAAGCAATGGGAATAAAACATTTACAACCACAGACAAAAATCTGGACGAGCTACGCCAATATAATATTGAGCAAAAGAAGCCAAACACAAAATAATACACTGTGATTTTACTTACATAAGTTTATTATATTTCTGTAATACGGAAATCAATTTATAGAGTTTGTAAATGGACAAAACTAATGTATGGTGATAGGAGTCACGAGAGCCACTCTACCTAGGGGAGGGTGGTGACTGCCAGGGGAATCGACCGGGTTTCCTAGGGACCTGGTCACCTTCGGGTGCTCCATCTTGATTCTGGTACCAGGGTGTGTTCTGCTTCGCCAAAATCCACCGGAGTTTAGGGCACTTATCGTACACTATTTCTGTATCCTTCAAAAAAAAGCTAATTGCAAATATTGCTGAAAAGGCGTCTGCGGCAGAACTGCTGATGGTTTATCCAACATCCCCACTTGTTCCCCTTTTTTGGTAAGAGTCCCACTTTAATTCACACAGTCCTCTACGTTTAAAGGGAGATTCCGTTGTCAGTGTGAGAAGATAAATCCTGATTGGTCCAAATCCACCACGTTTGGGCCATCCCTCAGGCTATGATTGGTTTAGCAAAGGGCATGTGACCCAATTCTGGCCAATGAGAATGAAGAAAATTCTGCCGGGGTGGTTCTTGAAATGTGTCCTCCTCCTCAGAGAGAGGCCCACTAGAGCCAGTGGTCTTCGTGACGGCACATGGAAGAACCAAGAGGAGCAGCGGGAAGTGGAACTGGAGCCCCATTACCCTGTGCGGGAAGCTGCCCTCGCCTGGATTTCTTGGGCTGTGAGGTAAAACTTTACTATTGGGAACAATGTAGCATTTTGGGAAAGTGCTCAAAGCTGCCGCTTAGCAAGAGTTCTGCTTGATTTCCTCCTCCTCCTCCTATTCCTCCTCTTCCGCTTCCTGTTCCAACGTGGAATTACCTGGTCACCCGGAGTCAGGCGGTGCGCTCTGCCCCTTTTTGTACCCTAGCGCCTGCCTTCCTGTTGCCGCTGTCACAGCCCGCTGGGTGGTAATGGCCAGATGGTGACCACCGAGGTCAGGAGGCAGCGCCTTGATGGGGCCCTGTCCTTGTGTCTCCCAAGACTGCGAGTGGCGGGAACCAGGGGAAAGATATCGATGCCAGTTATTGTTAGGTTGTCTTATTAGGGTTTTTCTCTCACACCACTGACCGTTTACCTAACAGTCATTGCCTTCCTTCTTTCCCCTTCCTTCCTTCCTTCCTTCCTTCCTTCCTTCCTTCCTTCCTTTAGAAATGGGCGTCTCAGTATGTTGTCTAGACTGGCCTCGAACTCCTGGGTGCAAGTGACCCTCTTGCCTGTAGCCGGGACTGCAGGTACATCCCACTGTGCCATTTCTCTCCCTCCTTTCCTTGTTGAAAAAAGACAACTTGTTCTCTTGTTAGGGAAGTACCAGAAACTCATTTTCCAGCTTCTTTTGAAGCTAGAGCTCGGGCACTGAGACCCAAGGATAAGTTGAGGGAGGATAATTCTAAGAGAGACTTTTTTTCCTAAAGAACCCTGCCATGAGCACCTCTCCTTTCTGTCTCTGTCATGATGTGTGAGGATGTGATGGCTGGAGCCATGGCAGCCACTTTACAGAGATGAGATTACAAGCCTTGAAGGAGAAATCTAATGTGTTTTTTCCCCTCAGCTAAAATATAAACCCAGTAAAGGCAGGGACTGTAGACTCTGGTTTGTTAATTACTCTACTCCAGGTGTTTATAATGTAACGGAGGTGCTCAGAGTTGAGTAAATGGATGAATGGATGGATGCAAAGGGCCATCATTTATGACCCACACCGATCACATTTCTGCCCTCTTTTGAGGCTTCTTGTTATATGAGTTAATAAATCTCATTGTTTAATCCACTTCATTTTATTTTTTTGGTACCGGGGATCGAACTCGGGACCTTTCGCTTGCGAGGCAGGTGGCAGAACCACTGAGCTAAATCCTCAGCCCTATTTAATCCGCATTAGTTGAGTGTGTTGTTAGAGAGGTGGCTCTCTAACATAATTCCTCTTCTAGGGCATTCGGCTTCCAGTATTCCCTGCAGTGAGTGGCTTTCTACATCCAACCCCTGAGTACACTGGATCTCAGAGCTGGGTGGGCACATGGAGATCCTTCCATTCCAACCCTCCCATTTTACGGATGGAGAAACCGAGGTCCAGAAGGAGGAGGAGATGTTACAGCACGGCCACTCAGAAAGTCTGGAAGCCTCAACTATCCATCTCCTCTGGATGCTCCTTTCATGGTCAGTCCTGCCCTGTGCTGTTGATGAGGGATCCATGAGGTCCTGGTGGTCCCGCCTTTCTGGGACATAGCTGATTGGACCCAGACTCAGCATGTGACCCAAGGACAGCCAATCACACTTCCTCTCTGGTGAGCTGAAAAGTCAGTAACTGGAGCTGTTAGAAAGGGAGGCGGGGCTGCTCCTCTGACAGCCGAGTGAGCGATAGGATGATGTGAGAGGGCCCAGAGGATGCCTATGCCCTCCTCAGAGGAGGTGCCAGTCCTCTGTCCTGCAGGCCACTGTGAAAACGCCACCCTCTCGGAGAGGACCTGTGTGTTCGCTTCCTGGGGCGGGTGGCACAAATCAGTGTAGATTTAGGGGCCCAAGACAGCATAGCTGGATTCTCTCCTGGAGGTCAGAAGTCAAAGCGGGCCTCACAGGCGTGGGCCTGCGGCTCCCCCCGGAGCCTGGGGTGGTGCAGATCCGGTCCCAGGCCCTTCTAGAAGCTTCTAGAAGCCCCCACATGCCCAGGCTCAGGGCTCCCTCCTCCATCCGCTGAGCAGTGTGGTTTGCCTCAGTCTCCCCCAGGCCGCCCCTCCTGCCTCGCTCTTGCGAGGACCTCGGGATCGACCTGGCCCACCCCGGACTGTCTCCCCTTCTCAGACCCCTGCTTAGTCCACCGAGCCCCTTTGCTGAACAGACGCCTCTCAACTTACAGCGGGTTCTGGCCCAGTGAGCCCACCGCATGTTGGAAATGTTGTGAATAAGAGAGTGACGCCCTAGCCAGCGGTGCTGCATGGGCCCACATCGCCTCTCGGGTGGGCTCCAGGCCGAGCGGACACTGGGACCCGCATCTCTGCCTGGGGTCACCTTGCACTGCCCAGGAAGAGGTCAAAGCTCGAAATCTGAAGCGAGCTCTCTTCCCGTGCCTCCTCTTTCCCTCTCTTCCCTTTTCCTCCCTCTCTCCACCCCTTCCTTCTTTCCTTCTTGCTTCCTTCCTTCCCTCCCTCTCTCCTTTCTTTCTTTCACACCATCTTGAAGTAAAAATCACTGTGAGTTAAATATTGTAAGCCGAAGACTAAGGTGATATATTCACAGATTCCAGCAACGGGGAGTAGGGGTGCGTGCGGGGACTGCTGCCATGCTCATCTCCAGCTTCCTGGACCACCAGATAGGAAGGGACCTCACACCCTGCTCATTTTATTGGTGGCTCGAATAATGATGGCACAGGTTCAGATTTCTCTACCTCTGGATTGTCTGTCTGCAAGGCCTGACCCTGAGCTCCCCGGCAGGAGCTTCCCTCTGTTTCACCCAGCGCTGCTCCCAGAGCCACACCTGCCACAGGTCAGGATTTGTGACGAAAATGCTGAGCGGCTTGGGTGCCGCTGGCTAAGAGCAGACGGCATCACGGAGGGGAGAAGCAGCTGGTTCACAGCTGGGGCGCAGGGAGGGGACACACTCAGAGGCCACTTCTTAGGTGTTTTACTTCAGGGACTGAATTTGGACTCTCCGGGCTGAGGTCGGAGATGTGATCCTGCACCGGTCATTCTGGGAATTGTCCCTAGAGTCCCACGAGAGAGGCAGGGCCGGCCCACCGCCGGGAAGGGCGTCCTGCTCTGGACACGAGTAGGCGAGTGAAGGTCCTGGCATCCCGGAAGGCGAGCCGGTCCCTGGGCGGTGGGGACTCAGTTGTTCTTGATGGTGTTGTGGATCCACTTGTTGAAGTGGCAGAGGTTGGTGTAGACGCCCGGTCTGTTGGGCTGGGCACAGGGGAAGTCACCCCAGGACACCAGGCCCTGCAGGTAGCTGTTGCACACCACGGGACCCCCGGAGTCGCCCTGTGGGGGAGAGGGGGCGCAGAGTCTGCAGCCGCACAGGGAGGCAGCGAGGACAGACAGGCAGGGACGCAGAGCCGCGTGAAGATTTCGCCCTCAGCCTGGCGGCCAGAGCCCCGCTGCCCCTGCTCCGCACCCGCTCCCCTCCTGGCCGCCCCTCTGTCCACAGGTCTGCATTCCCTGGGGTCAGGGCCGGTCCGCCGAGTCTGGAATCCTGTCCCGGCCCCTGGCTCTGCCATGTCTCTGCCCCTCTGTTCTCTGGCTCTCCCCTCCACCCTTGGGTGATTTGTTTATTCCTCCTCCTCAACACCCCGTCCTCCCTGACTCGCTCTTCCCCATCCTGGACTCAAGGTCATCCCTTTTATTTCATGTTTGTGTACTGGAGAGCGAACCCTTTTGCCCTGAGCTACAACAACCCCAGCCCTTTTCACATTTTTTCTTATATTTTGAGGCAAGGTCTTGCTGAAATTTCCCCAGGCTGGGCTAGAACTTGCAGTCCGCGAGTGCTGGGATCATAGGCCTGTACCCTCATACTCAGCTAACATCACAGCACACCCTGGCTGGGGCCTGGATGCCAGGGCTGTGGGGCCGCCCTGAACACTGGGTGTCAGCAGCGGCCCTGGGCTCCACCCACCAGACATGGGCTCCTTGCTCCACGCAGCTGTGACACCAGGGGTCCCTAGGCCTCTGCCCCCGGGGACAGAACCACCTGCCTGGGCACCGCTGCCTCGGACTGGTGGCGTTGCTTCCCCGATGCCCCGTCCCGTTCTGCCCTTCTCTAACCTCGGCTCCTGAGAGTGCCCTGCAGCGGACGCCTGGCTGCTTCCCCACCTTCGAGGCCGCTTCTCAGCAGAAGCCTCCATGGATCGGATTTCCCCTGCTTCCCTTCCTGGTGCGGCTCTGGGGATTGAACCCAGGGTCTTCCTACTGAACTCCATCCCCGGCCCTTTCTTATTTTTTATTCTGAGACAGGGTCTTGCTAAGCTGCCCAGGCTGGGCCAGGGCTGGGCCCTAACTTTTGATCTTCCTGCCTCGGCCTAGCCGGAATTGTAGGAGTGTGGGGCCTTTTTCATTCATCCCTGTGCAAGTTACCTCAGAGGCCTTATGAGGCTGCCCGGTAACCTGCCCGAGCCTTGGCATAAAGCAGGCTAATAACAGCGGAACAAGTTAGCTCGTGGATGCGTGTAATGAGCTAGCATGCATCGAGGAGCCCCTGCTACATTACCCGCCCTTTCATTTAGTCTTACCCCAGCCACACGCTGCTAGGAAAGGGCGCCTTCGGGTCCAGGAAAGCAAGACACCCACCTTGACCACAGAGGGTTCGGGTTATTTCATCTGAATTTCTGGCTGGGCCAGGTGGTGCACAGTTGTGATCCTAGCACTCAGGAGGCTGAGGCAGGAGGATTGTGAGTTTGAGGCCAGCCTGGACTACACAGTGAGACCCTGTCTCAGGAAGACCAATAATAATATAAAATAATAATAGTTTTAGCTTCTGCCTTGCTCAACACGGCTTCCATGAGAACACAGAGACGCTTTGCTTTAGCGATCAGGAAATATTTGTGGAATGTTGGCTGCCACCCAGCTCTTCAGTCTCAACTCCTACTGCTGCCCACTATCGCATTGCTCAGAAATGCTGGTTTCTTCTGCTCCTTGACTCAGCTAAATTCCTGCCTGCCTGCCTCAGGGCCTTTGCACATGTGTTTTCCAGTCTCCTTCACCTTCACGGAGCTGGCTCCTTGGAATGATTCGATCGCCCTCACTGCTGCTTCCCCCTACCTTTGAATACTGCTTCACCATGTGCTACACTGAAGCCGTGTTTTATTTTCTGGTTCCCTTACCACTCTCTGGAGAGGTTCTTGACCATAAGTTTCTTTTGCTCTTCCAACTACCGTTCCCTGTAGCCGATACTCTCTTCATCGAGTCCCTAGCACAGCTTTTCTGTTTTCCTTCCTAAGACTTTCCTAGCATTTGTTGGAAAAATGTCATCATACAGACCCAGTTGGAAAAAAATACCACCTGCCACGTGCCTGAGAATTGCCAAAATAAACAGACAAAACCGTGACAATTATGTGAAAAATTCCCCCTCCCATGAGGTATCTTAACGCAGTGTACAACCTGCCCTACCATACTCCATGGTCTCATTCTTGCCTTCTAGACAGGCGCTGTCCAACACAGTGGCCCGCAGCCACACGGACCTAATGAACTCCTGAAACTGGGTTACTGGACCAAGATGTGCTGTGAGTGTGAAATACACCCTGGCCTTCAAGGACAATGTGGAAAATCCGAGAGTGAAAACTATCTCCTTTGTAATTGTTTTAGATCAATTACATTTTGAAATGATTGTTGTAGGAAATTCTGAACTAAATAAAAGTATTGATGTGAATTTCTCCTGTTTCCATTTTTTATCAATATTATTTTTGCAGTACTGGAGGGATGCTCTACCACTGAGCTACACTCCTATTCCCTATCTCTTTTTAATTTTTATTTTGAGGTAAGAGTCTTGTTACGTTGAGCACACTAGCCTTGAGTTTTGGATCCTCCTGCCTCAGCCTCCCAAGTAACTAGGATTACAGGCATGTGTCTCCATGCCTGGATTTTCTTTTTAACTTTTTAAAATGTGGCTATTAGAAAATTTAAATGCCATGTGCAGTCTCACATCATATTTCTGCAGACACTGCCCCTCCAGGATCCGAGGTCTGTGAGATCAGGAGTCCTAACTAGGCCATCATTGGGTTCCTGGCGCTTAATAAGCTCAGTGAGTTCACAGTCCTCACCTGGCAGGAGTCTCTGGCATCCTCGTCGCCGGCACAGAACATGGTGTCATCTATCTGTCCGGGGTAGGCGTCCTTGCACCTCTCCTGGCTCAGCACTTTGATGTTTAGGCACTGGAGCGTCCTGGGGAAGATGTCTGTCACACAGCAACACAGTGAGGGGCGGAGTCACGTGGGGAGGGGCCGGGCAGGGGCAGCGGGGTACCAGGAGGGCCCGGACTCACGCTGGAAGCTGCTGGTGCTGCCCCAGCCTGACACCAGGCACTGGGTCCCGGGGGCGGGGCAGTGGGAGGTGATGTTGACAGGCCTGACCGAGCGGCTGACTTGGATTTCTTTGTTCAGTTTGATGAGCATGAGGTCATTGGAGTGGCCAGGGTGGGAGTAGCCAGGGTGGGGGATGGATTTGACGCCCCGGAACATCTGCTGTCCAGACTCATAGACGGGAGACATAGAGTGGTGGCCGAGACGGATCCTGTAAACCCTGAGGAGGATGGTGCGGGTCACCCCGAGGCAGGCCTGAGCCGCCCTCACATCCAGTGTCCATTCCAGCCCAGCTCCACCCTAGGCCAATGCCACCCACGCTGTGCGTCCCACACCCACCTCGACCTCACAGGGGATGCTTCCTACCCGGCCCCAATGAGAAATCCCGCCCAGTCATCCACCGAAGCGTTCTCAACCCAAACCTATCATCCACAGCCCCTGGCCAACCCCAGCCGGAGTATGACCATCACCGACACCATCAACTCAAATCTAGCTCCTTCCTGAATTCTACACCTCTTTGCAATCCCAGACCCATCTCCACTCGGTCTTTATTCCCAGCCCCAATTCTAGAGCCAACTTGACTCCATGTCCACCGCAAGGCCAACACGCACGCGCACGCGCACACGCCGGGCCCCCAGTCCGGCCTCTCCGACCCCAAACCCAGCTCCTACCCAACTCTCACGGCCACAGTCCCCGTGCCAGCCACATCGCATTCCCAAACTCCAACCAAGCCATCCACCCTCCCTTCTCACCCCAGTCCCGTCTCCACCCCCACGCCTCTTTCTAAGGCGGCCCCACTCACGGCTTCCGGCAGTGCGCGGCGGTCAGCAGCCACTGGGGGTGCACCAGCACCGCCCCGCAGTACAGCTTGCTGGGCGCCAGCAGCAGGGCGCCCTGCCAGGGCTGCGAGTCCCTCTTGCAGTCGGACCCGTTCACGATGCGGCTGCTGCTGCCCTCGTCGTTGGACCTGGTGTCCTCCCCGGCCTCGGCCTCGCCTCCAAGGACCCGGTTGCCGCCGGATGGGTTGTTACAGGAGGCGTCATCTGCAAGGACAGGCTCTGGGGGCAGAGATGGGTGTTCGGGGACTCAGGGCGGGGCATGGGGAGAGGAGGGAAGGTGACTGGGCGGGGGGGGGGCTTGGTGAGGGGTGGGGCCAGGGATGTGGGCGGAGTCCGGGCTACGGAGGTGGAGCCTAGAGAATAAACGTGAAATCACTAAGAGCGCCTGAGGCTTACACTCAGGGACAAGGCCCAAGCCGGTGCGATGGTGCAGTTTGTAATTCCAACACTCTGGGAGGCTGAGGTGGGAGGATCGAAAGTTTGAGTCCAGTATTGGCAATTGAGGGACTTGTGAGACCCTGTCTCGGAAGAAAGAAAGAAAGAAAGAGAGAGGGAGAGAGAGAGAGAGAGAGGGAGGGAGGGAGGGAGGGAGGGAAACTGAGAAACTTTTCAGGTAACAAAATTATACCTTTTAGTTTCAATAAAGTTTAATTCCTTAGATGTTTCAAGAGCTAGCCCAAATCCTGTTCTAGCAAGCTGTGGGTGTCAGTGACATTAGGGGGTACTAAGTAGCAGTGGAAGTTACATCTTAGGCTAATTACATGTATCACCGTTAATTATATTACATGTATACTACACTTTAAAATTTAGAGTTGGTCTTAATTCCTAATAAGGCTTGCCATACATAATATTTCTAGTAAATCTTTTTCTTTTGACGTGATTAGAAAGCTTATAAAGAATGAAGCATCCAACCACTTCCCTTTCAAAAGTCAAAGATCAATCACCCAGAAAAGCTGAAGTAGCTGGCGCATGTGTGTTTTGTTTCAAACTATGCAACATACATATAAATGATCTTCGACTATATTTAGGGAAACCATGTTTCTAAACTCCACTTATTGTCTTAATTGTTCAAGTGCAACTAAATAATACTGTTTCTAAAATGATACTACAGTTTTACCGACCAGGAAAAGGATGGATATTTTTATTGTAACCTAAAACCCGCTTTGGTACTAGTAACCTGAGGACATCACACGGTTGGTAAATTTACCAAGAGCCCTTAAACTGCATTACAGAAATACCTTTGAGTTAAGACACTAACGGCTTCAATTTCCAACGAGACAGGACGGGCTCCGGGGATGGCTCGGGAGGCGGATCGCTCGGAGGGCGCGGAGCCGGCGGGGCTGCGTACCCTGAGGACCGAGGCCGCCCCGGCCGCTCCCGCAGCTTCTCCACAGCCCGCTGCGCAGACGCGGTGGTCGGTTCTCGGCCCGGCGCGGAGGGCTCCGGGACCCGGTCCCACCAGGGTGCCTGTTCCGTGTGGCTCTGACGGCCGATGGCGGGCAGGACGCTCACACCGTCCGCTGGAATTGGCTGTAGGTCTCTCGGCGTCAAGAGCGAGGGTTCCCCAGGAGAACCGAGAGACCCGGGGAGCCCGGCGAGGAGGACCGCCTCTCCACGTCTTCGGAAAGGAGTACGCGAAGGACGTCACCTAGCAGACCGCCCGCCTCCGTCCGCGCGCGGGCGGGCGCTGTCCCTTTAAGGGGCGGGGCCGAGGCGCGGCCCGGTCCCCGGACGTGCGCGCCCCGCCCCGCGCGCCGTTTCCTGCGGGCGGCGCCGGCGGCGGCGGCGGGGGTGGCGGCGGCAGGGGACTCGAGCTGTCGGGTTCGCTTCCCACGCCGCCACGGCTCGGCGCCTTCTTCAGCTCAGGTGAGAGCGCGGGCTGCGGGCCACGCGGGCCGGGGCGCAGGCCGGAGTCGCCGCCGAGTGGGCCGCGGGCCGGGCGCTGGGGGTCCTGTGGGCCGGGCCGG